ACTCTTCCTTCACCTTAATGTATATTATCCCATACTTCATTTTAAGCACAGTTATATCGAGAGCACCACTATCAAATAATATTTTTCACAGCAATATAACTATATATATTTTTTTCTCTTTTCAATTCTAGGGGCTCTTACTTTTCCAAAACAGTGCACCTTTCTCCTTATTTTATTAGTTCCACTCAAAAGCCAAACCAAGCACCCCACACTTTAACCTTTTCAAGGTTCATTACAATTCAAGTGCTCATGAGAGGTGAAAAGGTTCAAATATATGATCAATTCAAACAATTGGGTAAGGCTTGTAATGTGGTTGCCAAAGAACAGAATTTCAGGCTCGAAGGAGTTTAACTATGATACATAACAGTTAGGCGGGTAACTATGAATGCCTAGAACTATGATATATATATATATATATGGATCAACAAGGAAACGTCTATATCACTTCCAAAACTGAACAAAACTACTATTTTGCTTTGCAAACACACGGGGCAAGTTCTAGGCATCAGATGCAACGCACAGAATAACACAAAACCTTACACACACATGGCACATAACTCACTCAGGATTGGACTCATCAAGACGCTCTAGTCAAAGCAGTTAAGCACAATTATAATCACACAATTTAAGGCACTTATTTAAGAGTCAAGAATTGAGCCTAGGTGTCACAACTAAGACACTCACCACTCTCAAGGCATATGCAGTTAAGGGAAATTGATCCTTTAAGTTAGCTTTCTGACTAAAGATTCTTAACTCCTAAAAAATAAAAAGATTTAACTACACCCGGTTCAAGCAAAACCCTTGGAAAAGAACCGCGGCACAAAAAAAAACCAAGGGGGAATTGTTACACTACCTAAAAAAAACTAAAATAAAAGACATATTTTTGGATTTTTACATATATATAATTTTTTTTCTTTCTTTCGACTCATATCCCTCAAGAAACCAATCGACGAAATCCATCGTCGGGAAGAGTCGAACTAAACACTTAATTACTAAGTATTACAGGCCGATAGAGTTCAGAATTATAGTTTACAGACTATAGTATCTACGAAAGCAAGAAACAAATCAAACAAAACCAACTGGCAAATAAAAAAAAGTACAAGTACAATCAAATAGGAGCACCCCACCCCACACTTAAGAGATTGCATTGTCCGTAATGCAAAACAGTAAAATCAAGAGTGGAAAGGTAACTCCCTGAGGCCCATGGCCTAATCATCAGCACCCTCGAAGGTGCGCAAATACTCCTCATCATCGGAGGGAATGGAGTTCACATCCTCATCTGGTAGCAGTTGTCCTCCTCTCGCCAACCCCAACCACTACTGAGTGATAGCAGAAAGGGGGTGATCTTGCTGCAACTCCTCCAAGTCGGCCTCCCCCCGAGCAGCATGAAGGCTCAAGTCAGCAAACAGTAGCTGTAGCGTCTCCTCAACACGGACCAACCTCTGGTCCGAATTAACAGCAGTAGTAGGGGGGTCTATCACCGACGTAAAATCATAGGCCTTGATAGGATAAGTCACTAGAATAGTCCGGTCATAGTGAAACTCCTCCTCTACATGGTGCTTGCAACAATCGAGTGATCATACTCGAGTAATATAGACGACGGGCCCCAAGTGGTCGCACTCTAGCCATATGCTCCAGCATGAGTTTCCCAAGATCGACCCGCATCCGTGTCAACAAGGCATAGATCAAACACACTTTTAGTCGTGGGACATCAGTGTCACTTTGAGTGGGCATGATTTTGGCATTAATCAACCGCAAAACAACCCTGGCTGGCCGCTGGAATGTACTCTTCTTCATGTCCTTATGGAATTCATTCACTTCCCGTGCCCATACGGCAGAAGAATCAGCGCCATATAGCAGTCGGTGGATAGCCGGATAGTCTGGCCGACGAAGAAACCTCTGAAAGAGCTTGTGGGAATGCTCTGTGAAGCCCATAATTAGATTGATCACCTGGGAGGAGAATGAAATCACTTTACCCCGTACCTGCACTTCGTACACAGCATCCAGGCTGTCCTCAGGTTACCAGTTAGCATTAAATTCTTTGACTAAAGTCACATTCACCGCATCACCTGGACGGAACAGACTGTCGAAACCCAAAGCCTGAATGTTGTTGTATATCTCACTATATTTGCGGTCAACTTCCCATCGTCAATAGCAACCTCATGCTCCGGTGGAACCGCCGGGATAAATGTCTGGAACCAGCGTGGAGAATGGGCTGGGACAGCCCGTATACCATATTTGCACGCTGGCACCTCATCCGCATCAGGGTCAATGCGCTCCTCTTCCTCCTCCACTGGGGAGGGGGTAGGTGCCCGTCTCCCACCTCGACGGCTACTAGAAGCAACCTCAGAAGAACCAGTGTTAGAGCGTTTGCTCGGGCAGCGAGACAGTGTACCTGTACAAGACGAACAATATTAGCCACAACACGTAAACCAAAACAAGACCAAACGGGGTAACCACCCCACACTTATGTTATTGGCATGTTCACAAGTAAAATGTATATCAGGGACTTAGACTACCCCATTGGAAGTGCGCCACAAGCAATCAAAAACCCACCCAACCACCAACATAATAGTAGAATCACAAAACCACGAACTATACTAGCTTAAAATACAAAATTAAGAAGCTAATCTAGTAACTAAGAAGAGAAATAAAAGAAGCTATACTAATGCACTACTAACAAAATTCAGAAAGTACAACACAACACTACACAAGCACATAGCATGAATCAAACATTCCAATTAGCATCTAGCACCACATTATCTCATACTCCCTCCATTTCATATTAAATGAGGTAGTTTGACTCGGCACGGAGATTAAGAAAAAAGAAGAAGACTTTTGAAACTTGTGGTCTTAAAAGTTTAAGGGGTAAAAAGTTTGTGGGGCCATGGCATTTGTATGGCTATAAAAGCTTCTCATTAAGGGTAAATGGGTAAAATGAAAGAGTTTAAAGTTGAATTACTTCCAAATTTAAAAATGTGTCATTTGTTTTGGAAAAGACTAAAAAGGAAAGTACCTCATCTAATATGAAACGGAGGGAGTAACAATTGTCCTCCACTAAGCTACAATGTCACCTTCTATGTCATTGAGGCATTTAATCAAGCACATGGTATTCACCAAAGTTACCTCATAAACTTTAATACTTCCAAGATTACTATACCAATCAACCATCCTACAACCACCACAATGTAACAAGGGCACAAAGTGCTCCAAATTTGCACAAATATTCCACCTATTTTCGGCCATAAAGGCACATCCACCCAACTTTACCATCAAACTATTCTATACGCACCAAGACATATTAAAAATCTTCCACAATTATAAGCACAATGGAAACCCCACAAGAAGTTAAGCACCAATCATGGCCAAAATAAGCAAATAAATTGAAAAAAATTAGCACTACTACACTACCTAGGGTTTAGTTCAAAATAAACTAATACTACTCAACTACAATAAATTACTCAAAGAAAAGAGATGAGAGTAGAGGAATACTTACCTTGAGGATGAATGGAAGGGATGTGAGGTATGTGTGGGAAAGGAATTTGAGAAGAAAAGAGAGTGGTAGAATTAGGGGGAGGGCTGGAGCGTATGTTCTGTAGGGAATGAGAAAAGAGTAGGGGGGGTGTTGAACGGGTGCTGGTTAAAAGAAACTAAAAAAATATATATTTATTTTAAGATTACGCACTGCCGCGTCGTAGGGTGCGGTGCCCCATGCGGAGCGGTAGTGTAAATTATCAGAGGCCATGTTTTTTTTTTCTCAGATCCATTTGGCCTGGCGCGACGCAAGGCACGACGTCCCATGAGGCGCGCTAGGCCATTTTTCTCAGAGTTCGCTTTGTTTTCGACATTTAGCTTACAGGTTGCACCCCGACTCTATTATGTACTTATTTTATGTCCAGTTCATGCTTGTACCTACCCAAACAAGTCTCACAACTCCTAACTTCTAATAATCTAAAACTACAATTATGGGTTAGTGAGGTTAAAAATTGGGTTGCCTCCCAACAAGCGCCTCATTTAACGTTGCAACACGATGCAGGTAAGCGCATTTAAGGTACGCTCAACATCGGAGGCTCGATCAAATGGGTCACTGACACTCCCTTTGCCTCATCCATGCCTACATAATGTTTTAATATGTGCCAATTGACTCTGAACGTACGAGAGTCATTTTCCGTAGCAATCTCTACGGCACCAGTGGGGTGAATTTCAACCACATGAAATGGCCCTGACCATCGTGACTTTGATTTGCCCAGAAATAGCCTTAGTCTTGAGTTGTATGGCAATACTGTATCTCCGGGTTTAAATTTCCGCTCAATAACATTTTTATCATGTATCTTCTTCATTCTCTCCATGTATAATCTTGTGCTCTCAAAAGCGTGATAGCGGAACTCATCAACCTCGCGCAACTCCTTGACTCTACTTGTTCCCGCAGCTTCCATATCGAGATTCAACTGTCTCAACGCCCACCAAGCTCTATGCTCTAACTCCACCGGTAAGTGACACACCTTCCCAAACACCAACTTGTATGGCGACATATCGATTGGAGTTTTGAAAGCGGTTCGATAAGCCCAAAGTGCATCATCTAACTTTCTCGCTCAATCCGTTCTAGTAGCATTCACAGTCTTACTCAACACACTCTTTATTTCTCTGTTCGAGACTTCCACTTGCCTGCTTGTTTGTGGATGATATGTGGTGGACACCTTGTGGCGTACATCATACTTCTCTAACAACTTCGCGAAGGCTCGATTACAAAAGTGAGTGCATCCGTCACCGATTATTGCCCTTGGAGTGCCAAATCGGGTGAATATGTTCTTTCTCAAAAAACCAATTACCCCCTTTGCATCATTTGTAGGGAGTGTTGCAGCTTCCACCCATTTGGACACGTAGTCCACATCGACGAGTATGTATTTGTTGCCATATGAGCTGACGAAAGGCCCCATGAAGTCGATCCCCCATGCATCGAACACTTCTACCTCCTGAATTGGGTTTATCGGCATCTCTTGTCAACGGGAGATATTCTCGGTTCGTTGGCACTCATCACACCCCTTTATCCATAGATGTGCATCTTTGAACAGTGTTGGCCAGTAGAAGCCCGACTCCAAGACTTTCGCAGCTGTCCTTACTCTCTCGAAGTGCCCACCATATGGTGACGCGTGACATGCCTGAAAAATAGAAGATTGGTCTATCTCGGGGATACATCTCCGAATCATGTTATCAACACAAATCCTGAACAGATAAGGCTCATCTCAATAATACATGCGACAGTCACAAAAGAACTTTTTCTTTTGAACAAAGGAAAGGTCATAAGGAACAATACCGCTCGCCAGGTAATTTGCAATGTCTGCATACCATGGTGCTTCCTCGAGACTCATGGCTAGTAGTTGTTCATCTGGAAAATTTTCCAGAATCTCTTCTACCTCAACCTTCTTTTCAGCTCCTTCCAGCCTAGATAAATGATCAGCTACTTGGTTCTCCGTTCCCTTTCGGTCATGGATCTCCAAATCAAATTCTTGCTGCAGTAGCACCCATCAAATAAGGCGCGGTTTTGACTCCTTCTTCTTGATTAAGTACCTGAGAGAAGCATGGTCAGTGTAAACAATTACTTTCGAGCGTATCAGATATGACCTAAATTTGTCAAATGCGAACACCACCGCTAATATCTCCTTCTCGGTCACAGTGTAATTTAGTTGGGATCCACTCAGCGTTCTACTTACGTAGTATATTGGATGCATGATTTTATCTTTTCACTGCCCAAGAACCGCTCCCACAGCATTGTCACTCGCATCACACATCAGCTCAAATGGTTGCTCCTAGTCGGGTGCAACTATGAGGGGTGCTGTTACCAGTCTCTTCTTTAATTCCTCAAAAGCTACCTTGCAGTCATCAGAAAACACAAAAGGGTGATCTTTTTCAAGCAATTTACCCAAGGGGTTAGCAATTTTGGAAAAAACCTTTATAAATCTCCTATAGAAACCGGTGTGCCTAAGGAAACTTCTAATTGTTTTGACGGAAGTGGGTGGTGGAAGCTTTTCTATCACATCAACCTTTTCCCGATCCACATCAATACCTTCACTTGACACTAGGTGCCCCAAGACTATACCTTCCTGTACCATGAAATGACACTTTTCCCAGATGAGTACCAGATTAGTCTCGATACACCTTTTCAAAACTCTTCTCAAGTTCACAAGGCAATCATCGAATGAGTTCCCCACCACTGAGAAGTCATCCATGAAAACCTCCATTATCTCCTCTACCATATCTGTGAAGATGGCCATCATGCACCTTTGGAATGTGGCGGGTGCGGTGCATAGGCCAAACGGCATTTTCCGAAAGGCGTAGATATATAAGGGTAGGTGAATGACGTTTTCTCTCTATCCTCCGAGGCAATAGAAATCTTGATTATACCCCGAGTAGCCATCCAGAAAGCAGAAGTGTGACATCCCTGCTAATCTATCTAGCATCTGATCAATGAATGGCAGTGGGAAATGGTCCTTCCTGGTAGCCAAGTTCAACTTCCTGCAATCCATACAGATTCGCCAACTTGTGACTGTTCGTGTAGAGATCAATTCGTTCTTCTCATTTTTCACTACCATCATACCTCCCTTTTTTGGTACACACTGCACTGGGCTAACCCAGTTGCTGTCAGAGATGGGGAATATGATTCCCGCATCTAACCACTTGATCACTTCTTTCTTCACCACTTCTTTCATGTTGGGGTTCAGCCTTCTTTGATGTTATCTAGAAGGTTTGTGCCCATCTTCCAGTAAAATCCTATGTATATAGAAGGCCGGGCTGATCCCTTTATGTCTGCAATGGTCCACCCAATTGCAGTATTGCACTCAGTCAGTACCTGCAAAAGCTGTTCTGCCTGCACATCTAACAAACTAGATGAGATAATAACATGTAGAGTTGAGTTAGGTCCTAAGAATGCATACCTGAAATGAGATGGCAGTGGTTTTAGTTCCAACTTTGGTGGCTCTTCTATTGATAGCTTAGCTCGAGGAGTTTTTCTTTCCTCTAAGTGCAAGGGATCAAATTCGAGCTCCCTTCTCCAAAAACCTTGTCCTTCAAGAGCAAGTACCCACTCTGCTAAATCTTCACCATTAGCTTCATCTAAGTTCACAAGACAGGCTGCTAGAGGGTCTTTAATGTTCAATGCCTCATCTTCCTCCTCCAAAACTACATCCACCGCATCTATTAGAGAGAAATTAGCAAATTCACTGGGTCTCCGCATAGATTTCTGCACGTTGAATGTTATCTCTTCATCTTTTAATCTTATCTTGAGCTCTCCAGTTTCAGAATCAATTAAAGCTCTCCCAGTGGCCAAGAATGGTCTTCCCAAAATTATGGGAATTTCCTCGTCAACCCTACAGTCAAGGATGACAAAATCTGCTGGGAACACAAACTTCCCAACCTGTACCAATACATCATCTAGAATCCCAGAGGGCCTCTTCACTATTCGGTCAGCCAGCTTTAGTAACATAGACGTGGGTCTAGCTCTTCCAATGCCTAACCTTTTGTAGATAGCCAGGAGCATAAGGTTTATGCTTGCTCCCAGATCACACAGTGCCTTAGCAAATGCAAAGTTGCCTATTGTGCAAGGGATTGTGAAACTCCCCGGGTCAGACAGCTACTCAGCTATGGGTCTCATCACAACAGCACTGCAGGTCTGAGTCAGTGTAACCGTGGCCATGTCTTGAAAGTTGAACTTGCGGGACATCAAGTCCTTCATCATCTTCGCATAACCAGGTATCTCCTTTAAAGCATCAATCAATGGAATGTTTACCTGTATTTTCTTCAACATCTCCAATTTCTTGTACTGCTCATCTTTCTGATACTTGGCCAATCTCTGTGGGAATGGTGCTGGAGGTCGCTTCTTCCCTGTGATTTGATTTTTCTCTTGTTCAAGGACTGCTTCTACTGTCGGTTCTGTTGCAACCTCAGTCTCTTTCACAACCTCTTCTTCTTTGTTTGTGTTCTCTTGCGCATGCTGTATTGTCACCTCAGTTAACCTTGTTAAATCATCTATCTTAATGGGTACTAGCACCAGTGTCTCTATCGGTCTGCTTTCGCGAGCAATTTCTTGCTCCAGATCTAAGTCTCTACCATTTCGGAGACTCACTGCCATCAACTGCTTCGGGCCTTGCTCTTTTGGATCGATTTGGGTGTCTACAGGTAACGTCCCATCGGGACGATTGCTTAAGGCCATAGAAATCTGTCCTAATTGGATCTCAATATTCTTTATCACTGATTCATGTGAGTCTACTCTGTCAGTTAGTTTTCCAGTGGACCCAATCACTTGTTGCATCAAGTTTAGCAAACCCATCTTCGTGTCTCATCATCTGTTGTTGTTGCGGTTGTTGATAAGTCTGCTGCTGATTATGCTGGTTATAACCCTGTTGCCTTTGGTAAGGCACCATTTGACACTGTGGTCGCATAGCCCCAAGGTTATTGTTGTTGTTGTACTGCTGCTGAGCCAGTCTATATTGTTGATTCTGCTGACCCCAATTCTGACGGTCCCCCATAGTTGGCCACATAATTTATGTTCTCCTGATATTGTTGGTTATCACCTTCAGCACTCCACGAGCAGACATATGATTGATTAATGCATGATGTACATAAACCCCCATTAGTTGCATCAACTATGTGTACCTGCTACTTCTGGCCTGATTCATCAACCTTTTTGGTGAGGATGCTCATTTGTGTCAGTAGAGTGGCCATATTTTTAGCTATGGAGTTAGTTGGGTCTAATGCCACTGAGTGAACTACAGGAGTGATTGGAGCATTTCTTTTTGTCCATCCAGAGTTTTGTGCCATCTTGTCAAGTAGGATCTTGCTTTCTCTGAAAGTTTTGCTCAAAAATGCTCCACCTGCTGAAGCATCAACATTTGCCTTCAAGCTATCTGCCAAACCCATGTAAAATCTCTGCCCCAACATTTGCTCCGGAATACCATGATGTGGACATGTAACCAGCAGACCCTTGAATCTTTCCCACGTTTCTTGCAACGTCTCTGTTGGTTTCTGTCTAAAGCTCAATATCTCATCAATTTGCTGAGCAGTCTTATTGGGTGGGTGAAATTTGTTCACAAATTGCTTCACTAATTCCTCCCAAGTAGTGATGGAGTTTATGGGGAGTGAATCAAGCCAAGTCTGAGCCGCTCCTGTCACTGAGAATGGAAACAACAACAATCATATTGCTTCCGGTGTCACGTTACGTTGCCTCTGCGTGGCATAAATTGACAGGAAATTCTTCAGATGCTGTTGAGGATCTTCAACGTATGACCAAGAGAACAGTCCCTTGTTCTTTAATAAATGTAGCATGTTATTTGTGATTTGGAATGATTATGCTTGTATCTGAGGGACTACAATGGCAATTGCTAGGTTGTCAACGGTGGGTTATGCCCAATCATACAGTGCTGCTTCTGGCACAAGAGGTACCACACCCTGATTGTTTGGGTCATTCTCGTTGTTTCTGCTGTTTAGATGATCGTCTTCCATGTCTGGTTCAATTTGCTCTGATGAGTTCTGTTGTTGTTTGCACGATTCAATGCCTCGAAAACTTTCTCAGAATCTGATAATGCTTCAAACAACTCACTAGTTCTTGAGGAGTTTCTAGGCATGCACCTGTAACACCCAAGACTACAAACGTATGAATTTCAATGATAGTTTACATTGATGAACATTGACTACAGTAAGAATTTTTTCACTTCTTTTTAACTGCAATTAATAACACCGTTAATTCCCCGGCAACGGCGCCAAAATTTGATCACGCCCAACTATGCCTTATAAAAAGGACAAAGCGGTCACTGCAAATATATTCCAGTTAACAAGTCCGAAGTCGAATCCCATAGGGAATTAACCAATCAATCACAGCTATTGGACTCACAGAAATTCACGTATCAATCTTTGGAGATATTTGAGTAACAGATTGGATGATTATTAACTAAATATTACGTAATAAAAATGCAATAATTAAGAACTAACTATAAACGATTTGTAAGCAATAATGGGAATGATCTAAGGTTATGATTTCCCCTATTGTCGGGATCCTTTCCGCTATGTTTGCTATAAATTTGCCTAAGTCTTCTCTATCGATCATGAGCACTCTGACTGTCATAACTCTCTCACGAGTAATTACAACAGTATACTAGACATATTCTCCCGAATTACGCTAGCTAACTTTAAGTACAACTCACTTAGATCGCACCCAAGGTTTCGTTATCCCTAATCCCACCTTTAAACCCTTCGTATTGATCCCTCATATACGTTAGGAGTGATGATGTTCAACAACTACCTAAATATGCACTCTCTCCCATGTAATGCATACTAAATAGGACAGCTAATTGAGGGCCCTTCAATCAACATCAGTAAGCATATAGTTGAACAAATAGAGATAATACTACGGCAAATCTATATTAACATAACGAGAAAATCATCCTTCAACAGGTTCTATCAAAATCCTAGATTATGAGTTTAGCTACTCATACTCATAGTAACAATTTCCCAAATAATTTGCATAATTAATTTACAAGTAAAGATGAAGGAATGAAGAATTCGATGATAATCTCCTCCGAAAATTGTCCAAAACGTTTTCTCCCTTCCAAAATAGTCTCCCTAGGTCTCAGATGTGTCAAAAGTCCTCAAAATAGCATTTTTATATGTATTTATATCAAGTAGGGTCGGGCCCAGACGAAACTCCCTTTCCTGCGCGAAATAGGACTTGGCTCTGTAAAATTTGTACAGGCGCGCTGCACGCTGCGATGCACTGTGCGGTATGCTTGTGGGGAAGTTCAGAGAGCTGTTTCTGACAGACTGCTGGAAAATTCCAAAGACGCGGCGCCCTGTGCGGCGCGGCAGTGTAATTTTCTCATAGTGAAATTATTTCATCCTCTTTTGACATCCAGACTTGGTACACGACCTCCGAACACGATCCCGGCTTAATGTATTGGGCTTTTACTCAGACTTCAAAGCTCCAGATTGATCGATTTAGCTCCAAATTAACTTTTGAACTCGAGATCACTTCCTGCAAGGCATAAAACACGTACTAAGTATAATTCACTATCATTTAAGCTTAAGCACACGTAAAAGTACAGTAATTGGAATGTAATATTACGGCTAAATACGAGTTTCTAGCCTAACATCAGTTTCCGATTAATAATGTTTATTATCAAAAGTTAAATAGCAACGAAATGATCCTATTTCACCTTGTTCGTTATGTGTGACACATAAAATAAATTTCCCCCTTCTTACGTGTAAATTTTATTGACTACAACTCATCAAGACTTAGTATATATATGCGCATTCATAACTAGAGGGGCCGGAGCAAGGACACAAACCCAAAAAGAAGGGAAAAAGCATGTCTTAAAAGGTAGAGAGAAGATATATATATCAAGAGATTACTCAAACAACCGCTATTGCAAATATACTTTGGATATGAAAGATACAGTATATGATGCTATCAAGAGTCAAACTAAACGAGTTTATATATTAATTGGCTTAGGCCAAAAAGTCCTAGAGTTTGTCTCATATACGCGGAGCAAGCAACATCCATACGCAAATACATTATTGATGATAAATTATTGTGCATGACCTTTCAAAAGTAACACCCATACTTATTATTCTCTTGTTAATCTGTCACTATATAACTAATAAATGTCAAACCTTCAGTTCGTATTCAAGCCTGCTGCGCGCTTTATAAATTCATTTACTCATAGTACATTAATATGCATTTTTATATTCGGGGACATAAAAAGAATCAAAATAATTTAGTGTGTGAATTAAGCTAGAAGGATAGTAGGCACTGTATTGGTCAAAATTTGGACGATTTGATAACTGCAAATGAACATGATCGAGGATTAAGCCGACCACAGCACAATGGCGAGGAGTCGTCCTAAGAAGGATTAGTGCCTAGGTCAAGTAAAAATTGTACGGAAGTAAGGGTAGAATAAGTTTAGAATTGAAAGGAATATTCCATTGGATATTCTTTCTGCTATACTTTTTAGGGTTTCTTAGGAATATCCCCTATAAATAGGAAGAGATAAAGAACAAAATGGGGATCTCCACTTTTCTGATAAGAGCACATTGTAAAGGGTTGACTACAAAGAATATAGAAAAGCTTGTCTTATCCACTGATTACATTGTTCGATATACGCTTTTTATTTACAAGATCCAAAGATTCCTTGTCTATCTCCATTTTCTATTACTCCACGTTGTTGTTAGGAAGGAGAATCATCCAAGTCATCTAACATGTGGGTGATAGAATCCTTTTATTACATTTATTGCCATTATCCACATTTATTGCATGCTTTTATTATTACATTCATTGACAATCATTGAGCATTCGTAGTTGGTATAACATTTTCGGATTCGGCCCTGCATCATCAATAGATCTAAATCTGGTGGTTATTATAGTTAACTAGGATTCACCCTCTATTTTTTCGTTAATTTATTTTAAGAAAAGGTTTAGCACTTTTTTGGTAAAACAATTTGGCGCCGTCTGTGGGGAGGTTCAAGTTAAAATTTTAGTTTTTTCTAGATAAAAAAAAACCATAGCCATCTTTTTCTCGTTTGCACGAACTAACAATGGCAGGGAAAGGAGATGAAAGACTGAAAGCAGCAGTGGACGTCACTGCCAACCTCTTGAACACCATCGACGAGGTTGACAGAGAGGACGAGGAGAATGTGACGCCGAGCGCTACACCCAGGCGGAGCGACTCACCTCCCCCTCATGGAAGTGTAACCGCTTCACGCGAAAGGGGAGCCTCCACGTCCACAACTGAGGAAGTGCCACCAGCAGTGAAAAAATTACTGGAGGCGTGGTTGACAAGTACTCTAAACAACATACTCAAGAAACCTGTTCAAGGGGCGAGTACAAGCGCCGCACGAGCGGATACCACAGCAACCGCCAACGAACAACCTGCTCCTCTCCCAACGGGTAACACTCACACCACTGTTGATGCAAGTGATGACGCACTTGCGGACATTCTCAAGAAAATGAAAGAAATGGAGAACGAGAATAAATCGCTCCGCGACCAAATGAGGGAGCATCAAGACAGGATTGATAAGATACCAGGCGCACCAAAACTGCTACCAAAACGGGACATCGACCGGTTCGTCAAAAAACCGTACAGCGAGGAGGCAACCCCTCACGCCATACCCAAGACCTTCAAAATGCCACCATACTTGAAGATATACGACGACACAACAGACCCTAGAGATCACATTATTCATTACGTCACAGCAGTAAAAGGCAATGACCTCTCAAAAGAGCAGGTTAGGGCTGTGCATAATTTGGTAAACACCGGATTACCATACCAAAATCGAAAATTTTGGTATTTGGTATTCGATATTTTGGTATTCGGTATGGTATTTGGTTTAAGTTTAAAAAAATATTGGTATTAGGCATGATATTTGGTATTTTAAAATGAAATACCGAAATACCGATATCATACCGAAATATATATTATATTACACAATACGCATATTATTAGTTATAACATAAATATAAAAATCTAAAATTTTACTT